TTTTTCTACATGGTGATCTCAGAGAGGGTATCTATATGACACCTCCTCCTAGTTTGTTCTCTTCATCTACCTCTGAAGTTTGTAAGTTGAACCGCTCATTGTATAGTTTAAAACAAACTCCCCGTACATGGTTTGAGAAGTTTCAATTGATCTTGCTTCAGTTTAATTTTGTACAAAGTCAAAATGACTTCTTTTTTTTTCTGTATAAAACTTCTACTAGAATTGTGCTTCTATTGATCTATGTTGATGATATTGTTATAACGGGAACAAATTCTTCATTGATTACTCAACTTCAGCATCATATTCGCAATTCATTTCATATGAAGGATCTTAATCAGCTTACATATTTTTTAAGATTAGAAGTTCACTCTAACTCTTTCAGTATATTTTTACATCAACATAAATATGCTCAAGACTTAATTTCTTTAGCTGATCTTCATGATTCTTCATTAGTTGATATAATGAAAATGAATGTAAAGTACTATACAGAAAAGGGAAACTACTTTCTTATCCATCTTTGTATTGACAATTAGTGAGGAACTTAAACTACTTAACTATTACTAGACCTGACATCTCGTTTGTTGTCCAATATGTTAATCGATTTCTGCACTCTCCGCGACATCTTCACTTGGCTGCAATTCGTCGCATCATCAAATATCTTCATAGTTCTCCATATTGAGTTTTATTCTTTTCTGTTGAATCTTCTATACAATTTAGTACTTTTAGTGATGCGGATTGGGTTAGTTGTCTAAATACTCGTCGATCCGTTACAAGTTGGTGCATGTTTCTTGGGGATTCCTTGATATTATGGAAGAGTAAGAAACAAGATCGAGTCTTCAAATCTTCCACCAAATCTGAGTATCATGTCATGTCTGCTGCATACTCAGAGATTACTTGGCTTAGAGGGTTGTTGACTGAGATCGGGTTCCCTCAATCTACTCCTACTTCTCTTCATTCAGATATTACAAGTGTTATTCAAATTGCTAATAATCCAGTCTACCATTAGCGTTTCAAACACATTGAAGTGGATTACCATTATATTCGAGAGGCTGTCCGTAATCGTGTTATTTCTCCTCCACGTGTTTCCACAACTTTACAGATTGCTGATATATTTACTAAGTCACTTACTCGACAACGTCATCAATTTTTAGTTGGCAAATTGATACTTCTTAATCAACCAGCATCAAGTTGAGAGGAGATATTGCCATAGATTAAAATAGCATTTAATTTATACAATCTGTATATTTTATATTAAAAAGCATTTAAAGTCTGTATATTTTATATCATTCCATAATTAGATTATGTACCTATAACTAAAGAGATATCAACCTTGTTCATTGTAAATTATTGGAAATTAGTTTTCTGATTCTTATATATTCACCTATTTATTCAATGAAAGAAGACAGAAAATGATCAAATCATTCAATCAAAATTCTTCTAAATCAAAAGTTATCAAAAACTACTAAAATTTTGGATTCTATAAATAAGTAAAGTTATAGGTCCGAGTTTGAGAAGCTAATCAAAATACATCATATTTTTATGTAACTTTTCGAACTTTTAATTAAAAAATCAACTCAAAAATAAGATAGATCTTGTTGATCAAAATATTAAAATACTACTTATCATTTGCTGCAAGATACGGAAAAAAATTAAATTTGTGGTAATCTAAGCCCAGTTTGAAGCTGTGAATTTACGCATTCAAGATATCAGTGAAATTTGCATCCACATATTGTCATGTTTCATGAAGGATAGCATACTTACAGTTCGTTGTCCAGGTATGATCCTTGAAACCAGGCTCAGTTTAAGTTGTTTCTCTAATT